GGGGTTAGAGTTTGGTGCAATTGCCAATGTAAAGCAATTATAACTAGGGAATGGATCTGAATTGACAAGAGAAGTCAAAGCTAGGCAGTCTTTAGGTAAGTCTGTTATTATTGTAAAGGGCAATACTGTGCTAGCAGCTAAAAAACAAACAAACAAAAAATCAAATTTAGTAACCTAAGATGTCCTTAGTCACAGAGCTGAAGAATGTGTTTTCCAATATTTGATTTTTTAGCTTGACAGTCCTTCTTGAAATACTCTCTTCTCAGCATGAAAATGTGCATCTTTGTTGGTTTGTTTTGCAGTTTGCAAATGACTTACATAGCTCTTCTGGCAGGGTTTCTGTTTTTCTTTTTGCAAATAAACAAAGGGCTACTTCTCTAATGTGACTTATATTGGGGAGATTCTATGTTATTCTGTCATAGAGAAAAGGAGAAATAAGCAAGAAGAAAAAAACGGGCAAATAAAAGGAAGAATAAGGGAAATTGGAATAAGCAGGGCATAAAAGCCAAGAAAAATTAAAAAGGCAGAAAAGAAACAAAGAGAAATTGGTGTGGGAAATTACAAAGTCATGAATAGCAAATAGCTGAAGATGCTGCAATCAACAGCATTCCAGGTAGCCCTCTCAGGGACAGCTCACCTCACCCCTAGGTCCATTGCTCCTCTCCCCTCCTATTCCACTGTATCACCAGAGTTCCTTGTGAACTGGGAAGACAAACCTTCCCCTCCTATTCCCAGGCAAGCCTGCATGAAACACAGCAACCCCTGCCAGCTTGACCCAGATCTGTCAACTGATCAATTATTTTTCCCAAAGAGGAGAAAGAAAAAGGGAAAGAGAAAAGGGAGGGCAGAGAGAAGATAGGACAGAGGGTGGGAAAGTAGAAGGAAGGGGTGGGACGGGGGGAAGGAAAGAAGGAGGAATAAAGAGAACAAGGAAGTAATTGGATAAGCATCTACATCTTTTAAATGTAAGAGCTAAATAGCAAGACAATATGCTTTCAGAATGTTGGACAAATAAATACATAAAATAAAATAAAAAACTCCGAAGTAACTGAATAATCATAATCAAAGCAGAGGGTAAGCCTCTTGTCACTCTTGATTAGAGCTGTTTATTCCCCTAAAAGCCTACCTTCAGGCCTCATTTGTCCCAAATGCTTCACTCTGTCTGCAAGTATTTCTATACTGCATCACATCTCCATGCAAAAATTTTCTTTGATAAATGAATGGAAAGTCATGCTACCTGCATGTTGCTTCTAAAGCGCTTCTGTCCTTTCTCAATGTGTTTTCTGAGAATGAGCAAGGGGAAAGTAGGATCATGGTTCCTGCAGTGAGGACCCCAACATCAGGCCTCAGAGGACACTGGGGAGGACCAGTGCAGTGGACACTCCCATACCATCCAAACTGAGTGTCACAAAGCAACTTATTTATACTTCTCACTTTTTATGTTTAACTTGTTTTATTGAATTTCAAATGCCTATAGACATAAAGTAAAAATGTAACAAGCCAATAGAGCAGAAAGGAAGTAAACTGCATAAATACTACCAGTCTCAGCATGGAGTTCCACTTAGCACCACATGTTTGCAGTGCAAAAGCATTAATGAGTCTTTAAAACACCCAGGGGAGCCTCTCCCTGACCTGGCAGGCAGGTGGGGAGAGAGGCTTACGGCAGAAAAGGGTTCCTCCCCATAGAAACATAGGGAATGTGATCTCAGATGTATATGGATACTAGAGGCCATGCGCTCGAAGGTGTTTGAAAGATTTATAGGACCTTTTCAGGGGCCAGTTACAAAGTAACATTCTAGTTGGTAGACAGAGGCAGGCCCTGAGCTCCAAACCCAGGAACCTGGAGCAGAGCCAAGCCCCAAACCCAAGGATCTACCCAGAGTGTGTTTCCACAGTTAAGTGGAAAGTAGTAGTGGGCTTTGCATGTCTTTCTTGAACATGGCAAAACCATGTGTTCCATGCTGATTAAGAAATCCTACTGCTTGTCAGGGTATCCTGAGATGTCAAGGACACCAAAGAGGACAGGAAACACCTTTAATTCCATTATACTAATGCTAGGGCTCGCTCAGAGCTGATCAAAAGGGAATGTGTGTCCAGCAAAGTCCCACTCCACTCCGCCCATGCTTAGTGGTTAGGTCGGCAGATAGCAGCTTGAGGAGATGGTAGAAATTTGGAAAGGGAAGAGAGGAACAGAGCCAAGCTCCCCAGAAGGTGTTGAAAGGACCAGCAATCCTCCGACGAAGTGGTCGAGTTTCTAGAAAGAGACAAGCAGCAGCATACCACCCATCTCCTCCAGCGCCTTAGTGGCAGAAGGTGGGAGGTGTGCTGGAAGAACAGCTCTTAAGCAAGCCTCCCAGCTCCAGCCCCAGGAAAGAGGAGTGGATCCTTAATCAACCCCAGGGATCTTTGGGCCAAAGCCCCAGGGAGCTAATCATCCCGCCTCCTACCCTATACACTAATCAGTGCTGATGCTCTGGAAATTCCCTCCCCCTAAGCTGGATCATGGTTGCTAGCTAGGTGGGGGAAGGTGCAGGTCAGGGAGGGTTCCATAATCTAGCACTAGCACCTTTTCAAGAGGCAGGAAACACAAGAAGTAGCAGCTCTAGAAAGAGCCAGCTTAAAACAAAAACAGAGGAGACTAAAAAATTGCCTTGGTATGTGTGTTGCATTCTAACTAGTCCCTCTGGGTCAATGCAATAGGGGTGGATTATTGCAGGCAAGACCTGGGCTGCCTCTGCAATTCTCTAAGTTTGATAAGAGATAGCTGGCAGGCTCTGTCTTCCTTCCCCTGAAAGAGAAAACAGACATCACCTTTGCTGTTTCTGACTAGCATGTGGCACAGGAATCTATGCGGATGATTCTGACTTAAAATTGGGCCCCTGTGTTCTTTAACGATGCATTAAAACGTAGTCAGAGCAGACTCCAAGTGGACAGCACATAAAAGGCCCCTATTCTCCTTAGGAAACCCTGGGTTTGGAATAGTGGAAGGAGGCGTGAATGACATTACTGTCATCCCTCCACCCGGAGATAGGAGTATGAACAAGATAATATTTCTCCTACAGGATGGCATGCCACCACTTTCTACTCATCTATTCTGGGAAGGCCCAAAGTCTGAGCAAATATTATGCTTCCTTGCATTTATTTCTGATGGAAAAAGTCACATATGCTAATTTATATGTAAATTCAGGATGGCTCTGGGGCTCCTGGCACTGGGCCAGTGGGCTGTTGATGGTGGAAGTTTGGCTATTGTTTGCTATTTGATGTTATTCATCAGATAAGGCACAGAATCAGGCAGATGAGAATAACAGGGTGTTCTGAGGCCTTTCCACTCCATTACTTTGACCCCCTATTCCAGACCTTACCTGGTTTTCATTTTTGTTGTCAGCATTATAGGAACTGTTTCTCCTAAAGAGCCTCATAGGTCTGAACTCAGTTTCCCTGTTGCCAGTGCCAGGCCTCTAAACTCAAGAAGAGAACCCATGCACCCATTATAAGCACCAGTGAAACTGGTGCACTCACACGGTCGTGCATTTGCATGCACAAACACACGCACATATCTGCCTGAACTTCAGGTTATGTAAGAGGAGTTAGCTAAGGATGTCGCCGAGTTTGTGGCTGCCACTCTTACACTGCCAGCATCTCGGGAAGGGAGAAAAGACCCTGAGCCCCATTAGGGTTGGGCACCACAGCCAGTACCAAGAACGCTTTACCAAACCCACTCGTACCGGCCTGCTCACTATCTACCTCAGGTCCCTTGTCCTTTTTGTCTTGCTTCTTGAGCGCCAGACAAGAATATACACACATTTGAATCTTCCCAACCTGGGTTCCTCTGTGCAGTTGTGTGAATCCACAAGGTAGTCACTGCAACCTACCTGCAGGGGACAGCAGCATTCCCAATGCCCGACTCAGAAGGATCTCATAGACTGAGTGCTCGGAACTTAAGATCAGGAAAAACCCCAGATTGGACTGAAGAGGGTGAGAAGGGTAGGATGAACTTTCCTCTGGGATCCAGATGGAGGGGACTAAGTCCTCTTGGGTGCTGGCTCCTTTTGAAGAGCCTGCTGGACCACCTGGGGAAAGTTTGCTTGCCTCAGTGCCTATGCTTTCAAGAATATGCCATCAGAAAAGAGGAGTGCTAACCCTCCAGAAGGATAAGGTAGGTAGGTGTGAGAAGGCTGGTGGCTAGCACTGCTGCAAATGGACCCAAAAGGACACAGATTCAGGATGCTCCCTAAACCCAGCACTGCCAGCATCAAAGTGGACTGGGCCAAGCCAGCCCAGTCCACAACTGCAGCTCCAGGGCTCGGAAAGAAGCAGAAAATTAGCATTTGACTCTTCCTGCTTCTACCTTCAACTTGGGAAACCTTCCACAAATTTCAGAGTCCCATACCCACACTTCCTTCTATCAGCCTGCTCCCAGAAGCACAGCCCAAACATACTTAAAATGCACACAGCCATCCATCACTGCTGCAGACCGACTGTCCCTTCTGACGGGACCTCTCCCCAGAACCTCACAGGAGGCACGTTACCTGACCAGCTGCAGCATGCATTATCCTGCCAGCTCCTTTTACAAGAAGCCTTGCAAGTTCACTGGCAGATATTTAAAGTTTCCTCCTGTCATGTCTCTCCAGCATAAAGAACACATTAGCAACCCCTATGCCCTTTGAGTTCGTAATTCCCCCTTTTACTTGTGTGTCCTGTTGTGTATGTGTGCAAGGATGCATAGTACAACCCGGGAAGCCTGCACACAGCCGTGTACCTAACGAAGCCAGACACATTTGACTTATGCATATACATCCCTCCATTCCTGTAGCAGCCAGAACCAAATCAATATTCTCACAGCCTGGTAGGGAGAAGGAAGTCCCAGCCATGCTGTTTCAATGCTCGCTCCTCCACCTGCAAACCGCGCAGCCGAGCAGACTTGGGAAGCCTGCGACTCCTATAAAGCACACCGTACAATACCGAGGACTACTGTAGACAAATCAATAGCAAGCTCTTACCTTGAAAGAGAAACAGCGCAGCCAGCCCCGTGAAGATTGCCCAGCAGAGAGAATTGTGCGTTTTTGCCTGGGTGGTTTTCATGGTTTTTCTTCTTCTTTTTCTTCTTTTTTGTCAGGGTCGGGTTTTTTTCTTTCTTTCTTTCCTGACAGACTGCGTTGCTCTGTGCTCAGGAGAGAAGATTTAATCCACTGTTTTGCTGAAGGACACCACAAGAAAGCCGAGGCTGTGAGAGTGTGACTTCTCAGTAATTATCTCCACTCATACTCTGGCACTGAGACACATTGTACAATCTGGCCCTGGACAGCCCTCCTACAAGCTGCAATCATTGGTTCTAATCCAAGGATTGACAGAGCTACAACACACACGCGCGCGTGTGCAGCACACACACAGACACACAAGCACACACACAGACACAGAGGAATCATTTACTGGGAAAATCTGGCTAGCTGATTAAAGAGACAGAAGCCTGGAGAGATGGAATGATAAATGCCACTTTTCCCCTTCTATATTACTTTCATTTTTTAAACTGACAGTCTTGGAGCCCCAAGCATGAAAAAAATCCCCTTCCCTCTGGCATTCCCTGGCCTCCTGAACTCAAATTCCCTTTACACTAAAAAAATCCTATTGCCAGCAACCACTTACAGAAGATTTTAAAGGGACATTTTCATGCTTCGTGAGACTTACATAGATGAATCAAATTTCATTCATTGATATGTATTTGCCTCATCAATGGAATATCATTCAATGACAGATTTTTTCCCTCTCTGTTTCATATTTTCCCAATTAACCCTCCTATTTAGTTGCTCTGAACATAATAAATAACTTTCTTTTCTCTCATCCTATCATTTAGGTTTCAGACACACCTTCACCACTCTTATTTTTCATTCACTGTCTTTATTTCTTAAAGTCATTTATATGTACACGATACCACAAAAAAAGTGAGGTGTCTGAGATCTGAGAAGTAGCATTGTCATCTGAGATGAAGCATTGTAGAATATGAGTGACTTTCCACAAAAGAGAACAAAGAATGGGTTGATTTCAGTATGCCTCACTTAATCTTCTTTTACTGGCCTTTGGATTTAACCCGCAGCAAGACAGATTTAAGTCAGATATGATAAAGGATTTTCTGAATGTTAGATGTTGTGTGTGGTCCTAAAATGTTTTCAGAGAGTAGTAAACATTTATCTCCTTAGGGATGAGTGAGAATAAAAATTGGACAGAAATTATAAAATGAATATAATGACTTCTTGAGAGATCTTTTAACTCTGAGGCACTGGAAGTTGATGATTCAATTTTTTTGGCTTTCCTTTAATGGGAGCAAATTACATGGGGTAAAAAAAATCATAGTCCTTCACAAATCATTTCCCACTTGATTCTGACAAATTCATATGCCTCAATACATTTTTGAAATATTATTCAAGACTTCCACAGCTAATTATTATAGTTTCCTCCAACTCCTGTTATTTTAGTTCATATATCCTCATGGTTGGTGCATGTAATTAATCTTATAAGAATACAAAGACATGATATGCTCTCTTGTTCTATAATAGCGTTAAAAATCTCTATGGAGGTGATAGAAAGCATAATATATCTGAAGGTGAGATAGACACACGATTTAAGATCATAGAGACATGCTGCACTCAGAGGGTACTTTAAATTGAAAATCAGAAGTGTAGATTTGCTCGATAAATTTTGGTTTCTGAAAATTCACTGGAGAAAATCACCTTGCTTCTGTTGTGCTTCAATAAGCAAGATTTAATTCTAGCTTTACAACTGTGTAAAATTTGTTGTTTGTTAGGTGTCATTGAGTCCACTATGATTCAGTGACTCTGTGAACAACAGATCTGAACCTCCCTTATCTGGTACCATCCTCATGAATTCTTCATGTTGAGACCTACTGTGGTGGTCACTATATACAACTATCTCATTAAGAATCTTTCTGTCTTTTGCTGATGTTCCGGTGGCTTAGTGGTAAAGAGTTCTGCTGCCAACCTAAAGGTGAATGGTTTGAATCCACCAGCTGCTCCACTGGAAGAAGATGGGCAATCTCCACCGAGGAGATTTATTTTCTCTAGAAACTTGCTGGAGTGTCCAGATATGGATCAGTTTGGACTCGGAGGTACTTAACAATAACAGTCTGCCTTTCCCAGTATAATGTCTCTCTCCAAGGAAAGGGTTCTTCTGAAAGTATGTCCAAACAGATGAGATAAATTTTCATAATTTTTGCCTCTAAAGAGTGCTGTGGCTGTATTTCCTTCACAACAGACTTGTTCTTTTGATAGTTTATGGGATATTCAGTACCCTAAAACCACAACTCAAAGACATTGATTCTCCTGTCATTGTTATTCATTGTTCAACTTTCAGGTGCATAGGAAATAACATAAAATTCTATGACTTGGATTAGTCACAACTTAGTCTTTAAGTTGACACCCTTACTTTTCAGAAATTTGAATTGATCGTTGACAACAAATTTCCCCCATGCAACATGTCTTGATTTCTTGACTGTTGGTAACATGAATGTTGATTGTGGATTCAAACAAAATGAAATTTTTGACATCAATCTTTTCTCTCTCTATCATGATAAATATGCATTGGTCCAGCAGTAAAGATTTTGGTTTTCTTGATTATATATGATCCGTATTAAGGATTATAGTCTTTGATCTCTTGCAATAATTGCTTCAAGTCTTCTTGATATTCTGTAAGCAAGGGATTGTGTCATCTGTATAATGTAGGTTGTTGATGAGTCTTCCTCAAATTTTGATCCTAAATTTCTCTTCATATTATCTCAATATACAGGTTGAATAGGTATGGAGAAAGAATACAACCTTGACACACACACAATTCAGGATTCTCTTGTTTTATTGGAAAAAAATGCTTTTTGGTCTACATAGAGGTTTCCATGAGTATAATGAATTTTTTTATTATTTTGTGTGTGTGTGTGCGTGTACAGTCAAATCAGATCTGACTGGTACAGGAGGAGATTGTCCCTCCTTCCCTAGCAGAGCATCTGGTGGATTCGAACCGTGCACCTCTGGGATTGTAGCTACAGCTCCTTGCCACTAGGCTACCAGAGCTCCCTGAGTATCATGAAATTTTGTGGAACTCCCGTTCTTCACAATATTAGTCATAGTTTGTTAAAACCTACAAAAACATCCTTCTGATATTCTCTGCTTTCAGCCAAGATCCATCTGACATTAGCAATATTTCTCATTCCATAGCCTTTTCAGAATTCAGCTTAAGTACCTAGCACTAATCTGTCATTGCATTCTCAAGCAATTTTTTTATTAATCTTCAACAAGAATTTACTTGCCAGTGAGACTAATGATCTTACTTGACAATTTTCATAGTGTATCATCCTCTTTTTCTGGGAACAGAAACAAATATAGGTCTTTTCCAGTCAGTTGCCCTGATATAGCTGTCTCTCATATTTGCTGATAGACATTGTTGAGTGTCCGGTATTGCATGTGTTTCCTAAAACACCTCTGTTAATATTTCATCAATTCCGGGGACCTTATTTTTGACCAAAGCTTTCAGGGCAACTTGATTACCATTGATTCTTGATTATATGCTGCTTCCTAAAATGGTTCCATGGTGACCTATTATTTTTGGTATGGTAACTCTGTGTGTATTTCTCCTATCTTCTTTTGAGACTTGCTGCACCATTCAAGATTTTGCCCATTGAATACTTCAGTTTTGTAACGCGAGACTTGAATTTATTCTTCAGCTCTTTCAGCTCAAGAAATTATGTCTGTGTTCTTTTTTATGGAGGGAGGGGAAGGTTTTACAAATTCCTTGCACATTTCAGTATATTACTTTTCATATATTCTTGAGTTGCATTTTGGAATTTTCTGTTTAGATCTCTTGTATCAGCATCTCTCCCCCTTGCTTCACATTCAAATGTCAGTTTTAGAGTATCTTCTGACTCTGAAGTCTTGATCTTTCGTTTCTTCCCTGTCTTTATAATGATGTTTGGCTTTTTTCATTAATAATGTCATTCCACAATCTGGTCTCCAATTAATGTTCAATGTGTCATGTTCAATATGAAAATAGTTATTAAATTTAGATGAGATAGACTCAAGGTATCACTTTTATTCTTGTGACCTTGCTTTAATTTTCCTCACCTTTAATTTAAACTTGTGTATGAGCAGTTGATGGTCTTTACACATTTACCCCCAGCCTTGTTTTGACTATTGTTGTTGTTGTTGTTATGTGCCGTCGAGTCGCCTGCGACTCATAGCGACCCTATGTACAACAGCCCTAAACTCCACTCTGTCCTGTGCCAATC